CTGTGCAACTAGCTGTTTCAACTTCTGGAATGACCTTTCCTGTGCTTCACCCCAGATGAAAGGCTCATTCTTCCTCAGGAGGCTCCTGAGTGGTTCTGCTTCTTGCGCGAAGTTGGGAAGAAACTTTGCAGAATACTGTGCAAGCTGAAGAAATGATCTGACCTGTGAAGGATCTTGTGGAGGGCTTGCGTTCAAGATGGCAGCTACTTCGTCTTCACTGGACGCAACACCTTGCCTGCTCAGATCATGACCGAAGAATGTAAGCTTGGGAAGACGAAACTGGCATTTGTCCCCATTCAAGGTTAGTCCTTTCTCTTTCAATCGGCTCAGTACAGCATGCAAATTCCTGTCGTGTTCCTTTATGCCACAACCATGCACAATCAAATCATCTGCCAAATTAGCCACTCCCTCGCAACCATGCAAAACATACGCCACAATTTTCTGGTACTTTTCAGGCGCAGATGTTACCCCGAACATCAAACGTTTGTACCTGTACAAACCACGGTGTGTAACAAACGTCGTGATCTCGCGCGATTTTTCATCCAATTCCACCAGGTGGAAGCCCCACTGGAGATCGAGCTCTGAGAAGACAGTTGAGCCATTAAGGTCGTACAAGACCTCCTCAATTGTAGGGATGGGGTGTCTTTCCCTCTCTATTGCTGAATTCGCCCTGCGCATGTCCAAGCAAATCCGAATGTCACCGTCTGTCTTCGGGACAACAACCAACGGCGACACCCACTCAGTTGGGTTGTGTGACGCCTCCTCGATGATGTCTTTGGCTAACAGCTCATCCAACTTCTCGTCAACCAAATGGCAGTCTCCGTACGGGTTGTACAACCGGCGTGACATCGTCCTTTATATGTAATTTCAGCTGAAAATCCTTCAGCTTCCCAACCCCTGTAAAAACCTCTCTATACTTCTCACGGATGTCGGCATCATTTCCTTCAACAGTTAGTGAACACCCATCCGGACCAACCCTTAACACGCCCAGCTTCTCTGCAGTGTTCTTTCCGAGTAGAGATCTTCCTGGACCTTTAACCACTGTGAATTCGTCCACACAACTGTTGCCACTGATCTCGCACACAATCTCAGACACAAATGTCTCAGTCACCTCAATAGGATCTTTCTGTCCATAAGCAAACAACTTTTTGCTTGATTTCTTGGACTCACACTGGACACTCTTCTTCTTCAAAACTTCCCAGGTTGCTTGGTCAATCACGTTGCACGACGCTCCAGAATCAAGAAGTACCGCTGGTAACGTCACTCCTTCAACCTTCAAATCAACTTCACTACCACTTGTAGGCTGACCGACTCCAACTGTAAATGCATAATAATCTTGTTGGCCAGTGGCTAAATCCTCTGATAGTTGATAGGCTCTACCCCGTGTATTATTCCTTCCCTCGTCATCTCTTGTAAGAGGTTTGCGTTCCTTTGTTTTGCAACAGACTGCAAAATGTCCAATCTCACCGCATGTATTACATTTCTTGCTACGGGCAGGACAATTTGGGTCACGTGCCATATGGTCAGTATAATTACAGCGAAAAAAGCCTCTCACTTTCGTCTCCTGAGAACCACCAGACGGTTTACCAGGCTAGGCCTATTTCCTCTGTTTCTACCCTGTGCTGTCCCTTTCCTTTTCCTTTTCCTTTGCTGTGAGGTTTGCCGGAAACAGCATTCACCTGACCGGATGACTGATCCATAGCCTTGACCTGCATGTTCACTGCTTCCTGTACGCGAGCCAAATCTTGTAAATCCTTCAAAGTAGCATTTGTTTTCTCAAGGAACTTACGGCGAAGTCTGGGGTCCCTGCATCTCTCAATAAGCTGATCCCTTATTGCCTCATCAACATCTTCAAACTCGCAGAAGATCGCTTTCTGCCTCAACCGACAAACAAACTGATCCATCGACTCTCCTGACGCTTGCTCCATTTGCCTAAACTGATGCCTTTCGAATGGAACGTTCAACTGCGGTACAAAATAGTTATCCAACAACTCCATACTCTCAGCGAACGGCTTGATATCCGTACCGGTCAATAACGTGTAATAAAGCTCCTGAAAATTCAGCCCTCCAGTATGCAACAGCAATGCGGTTTTCTGTTCATCTTTCGTAATCCCTTTTGCCACCAAATACAGATTGAACGAGCGTTTCCACAACTTACAGCGAACTGCAAGGGTGTTCGGATCTTCCTTTGGATTGAAGGGAGGAATGCTGGCCACATCAAGAAGAGGAACAAACGTCGCGGTTGGCAAAGCTTGTGAACTTGAAGTTGTACTCGAAGGGGTTCCACTTTCCGTCATCTTCCTGACAAAATACTAGGACTTTCCGCACAAATGACTTCCAAAACATCCACTACCTCACAAAACGAATTGAATCCTCGTCGCCAATGTAACAATGACGCCCGGATGGCCGTGTAATAGACCAGATTTAACTATGAAAGAAACTACACTTTATTAGGCCGCCATGACACCCGGACAGCATGGCCAACACAAATATCCTTGATCCTTTGCACGTTTACAGTAACCGAGAACTTCCGCTAACACAACTTCCGGTAGACAATACTATCGATACATTACATTGTTGTCTTTTTTAAGACTTAGCCCAAGTCATACCTAGATTTAGCTCTAAGGAGCCTAATTCTTATCTGCTGACGAGCGTCTCCATCACATTCATAGGCGAGTCGTCCCACCCGAGCAGTGTGGATCCATTGTTCATTAACGTGAGTATTTTTAAGAACCAGTTAAAGTTTGATGTATGTACCGAGAAATTTCCGCAACATTAGGGTTCATTTGTCCTCTTATCACTTGTGCATCATTTTACTATTGTAAACGCCCCTATAAAGCGCTCTCTCTCAAATAAACCACACTCTATAGCTATTCAAGGGAAGAAAATTTAAAAAGCCCCCCCCCTCCCCTCGGTCTCTTTCAAGACTCGATCCCTTCCCCTCCCGCTTTTTATTTTTTACTAATAAATGATATACTGTATTAATCAATCACGACTTTAAAACTTCATTGGATTGATCCTGAATGATTTATTCACATGTTGGAAGTTCGGATGTATTTTTAATCCTCGGCTTAAATGATCTCCAATTTCTTGTACTTGGGCTTATCAACTTTAATCTAGTTTTTTTATGGAGAACTGATAAAACCATCTTTGCTAAAACAAATAAGCCCCACTACCCTGAATAAGGCCCCCGGCTCTTTTAAGCTCCCCCTCAAACGTGTTTGAAATAGATAACCACCCTTGGGGGGGGGGGGGGGGGGGGGGGGG